TGTAGCTACCACCTGGTAGAGGAGGGACAGGGAAGCCATGCTCTCCTATGCATACCTAGGACAATACCTGATTCCCTGGTATAGGCTGCTGTGAGACCAAGACTTAAGTGGACTGTACTCCTCACATCTTCTTGCTTATGGCCCCTATGAGGCCAGTACAGCTGATACCAAAATCAGACAAGGACACAATGAAAAAAGAAAAGACCAATATCCCTTATGAACATACAGACAAGAATCCTCAACAAAATACTAGCAAACTGTATCCAACAGCACATCAAAAAGACACTACAACATGACCAAGTGGGATTTATCCCAGAGTTGAAAGGATGATTCAACATATGCAAATCAATAAATGTGATACATCATATAAACAGAATTAAGGACAAAAAACAAATGATCATCTCAATAGATGCACAAAAGGCACTGGATAAAATTCAACATTACTTCAAGATAAAGGTCCTCAACACACTAGGCATAGAAGAAACATACCTCAACATAATAAAGGCCATATACAACAAACCCATAGCTAGCATTATACTTAACAGGGAAAAACTGAAAGCATTCCCTAAAGCTAGAGCAAGACAAGGATGCCCACTTGCACCACTCTTATTCAACAAGTCCTTGTCAGAGCAATCAGGCAAGAGAAAATAACAAAAGGCATCCAAACTGGAAAAGAGGAAGTCAAATTGCCCTGTTTGCTGATGGTATGATCTTATATCTGGAAAACCTGAAAGACTCTACCAAAAAACTTATATTTGATAAATAAATTTATTCGTGCCCACCCAGGGACGCTTAGTTAGAACTTTGCCGGGCGCGGTGGCTCAAGCCTGTAATCCCAGCACTTTGGGAGGCCGAGACGGGCGGATCACGAGGTCAGGAGATCAAGACCATCCTGGCTAACACGGTGAAACCCCGTCTCTACTAAAAAATACAAAAACTAGCCGGGCGAGGTGGCGGGTGCCTGTAGTCCCAGCTACTCTGGAGGCTGAGGCAGGAGAATGGCGTGAACCCGGGAGGCGGAGCTTGCAGTGAGCTGAGATCCGGCCACTGCACTCCAGCCCGGGCGACAGAGCGAGACTCCGTCTCAAAAAAAAAAAAAAGTAAAAAAATAAAATAAATTTAGTAGTTTCAGGATACAAAATGAAGATCCAAAAGTCAGTAGGGTTTCAATACACCAATAATGATCTAGCCAAGGACCAAATCAAGAAGGCAACTCAATTTATAATACCTATAAGAAAGTAAACTATCCAGGATTACATTTAAGCATGGAGGTGAAAGATCTCTATGAGGAGAACTACAAAACACTGACTAAAGAATTCATAGATGATACAAACAAATGGAAAAACGTCCCATGCTCATTGAAAAAATCCATATTGTTAAAATGACTGTACAGATCAAGCAGTCTACAGATTCCACACAATCCCTATCAAATTACCAATGCCATTTTTCACAGAATTAGAAAAAAAAATCCTAAAATTCATATGGAACCAAAAAAGAGCCCAAATAGCTAAAATAATCATAAGTAAAAAGAACAAAGCTGGAGGAATCACATTACCTCACTTCAAATTATACAAGAGTATAGTAATCAAAACAGCATGGTACTGGTATAAAAATAGACACACAGACCGATGGAACAGAATAGAAAACCAAGAAATAAAGCCATATACCTACAATCAACTGATCTTTGACAAAGTCAACAAAAATCTACACTGGGGAAAGGATTCTATTAAATAAGTGGTGCTGGGAAAACTGGTTAGCCATATGCAGAAAAATGAAACTGGACCCATACCTCTCACCATATACAAAAATTAACTCAAGATGGATTAGAGACTTAAACCCAAGACCTGAAACTATAACAGTCCTAGAAAAAAACCTAGGAAAAAGTCTTCTGGACATTGTCCAGGCAAAGAATTTAAGACCAAGTCTTTAAAAGCAAAAGCAACAAAAACAAAAATAGACAAATGATTCAATTAAACTAAAAAGCTTCTGCATAGCAGAAGAAATAACAAAATAAGCAGACAACCTACAGAATGGCAAAAAATATTTGCAAACTATGCATCTGACAAATGACTAATATCCAGAATCTACAAGGATTTCAACTCAATAAGAAAACAATAACCCTATTTAAAAGGGGAAAAAGAACATGAACAGGCTGGGCATGGTGGCTCACGCCTGTAATCCCAGCACTTTGGGAGGCCAAGATGGGCAGATGGCTTGAGCCCAGGAGTTTGAGACCAGCCTGGGCAACATGGTTAAACCCTGTCTCTACAAAAAAATACAAAAGATTAGCCAGTTGTGGTGGTGCATACCTGTGGTCCCAGCTACTCAGGAGGCTGAGGTAGGAGGATCACTTGAGCCCAGAAGGTCAAGGCTGCAGTGAGCTGTGATTGTGCCACTGCACTCCAGCCTGGGTGACAGAGAGGTGGGGGGGAAGGGGGACAGAAACAGAGAGAGAAACAAGACGTGAACAGACATTTTCAAAAGAAGACATACAAGTATCCAACGACCATATGAAGAATGACAGATGTTGGCAAGGACGCGGAGAAAAGGGAACACTTATACACTGTTTGTGGGAAAGTAAATTAGTACAGCCTTTATGGAAAGAAGCATGGAGATTTCTCAAAGAACTAAAAATAGAACTACCATTTGATCCAGCAATCCCACTCTTGAGTATATACACAAAGAGAAAGAAATTATCAAAAAATATTTACAGCCAGGTGCAGTAGCTCATGCCTGTAATCCCAGCACTTTGGGAGGCTGAAGCAGGAGGATCACTTGAGGTCAGGAGTTCAAGACCAACCTGGCCAACAAGGCAAAACCCCATCTCTAATAAAAGTACAAAAAATTAGTTGGGTGTGGTGGTGTGCACCTGTAATCCCAGCTACTTGGGAGGCTGAGGCAGGAGAATCGCTTGAACCCAGGAGGCAGAGGTTGCAGTGGGCCAAGATCACGCCACAGAGCTCCAGCCTGGGTGACAAGTGAAACTCCGTCTCAAAAAATACATATTTATTCACACTCATATGTTTATCGCTCCATTATTGACAGTAGCAAAGATATGGAATCAGCATAAGTGTCCATCAACAGAGGACTGGATAAATAAAATGGACTACTACTTGACCATACAAAATAATGAATCATGTCTTTTGCAGCCACATAGATGGAACTGGAGGCCATTATCCTAGCAAACTAACTCAGAAAGTCAAATACCACATGTTCTCACTTATAAGTGAGAGCTAAATGGGTACACATGGACGTACAGAGTGGAATAAGAAACCCTGGAGACTCCGAAAGGTGGGAAGGTGGGAGGGAGGCAACGGTTGAAAAAGTACCTGTTGAGTACAATATTCACGATTTGAGAGTGATGGGTACACTAAAAACCCAGATTTCATCACTAAGAAATACATGCACATAAGAAACCTGCACTTGGACCCTTCAAATACATAAAAATAAAATGAAAAGAAAAAAATAGTGTAGTTTATTATATATCTATTATGCTTTAATAAAGCAGTTTAAAAAACATGCTACTTGCACATGATTTTTCTTCGTAAATCATTATATTCAAAGAGAAACTGCAAGCTCTGTCTAATCATCATAGACTAGGCCTTTTTATTTATCTACTTATTCTCAAATATTTGCTGAATACCTGTTAGTTTCTGTGGGAAATACAAACATAAGTCAGACCTACTGTGATCTGAAATCGGGGCAGAGACTAAATATATGGTCATATCATACCATATCATGAGATGATAATAAACATACATTTGGTCTCTGCCCTTTTTTTTTTATTTGAAATGGAGTCTCACTCTGTCAACCCAGGGTGGAGTGCAGTGGCACAATCTCGGCTCATGGCAAGCTCCGCCTCCAAGGTGCACGCCATTCTCCTGCTTCAGCTTCCCAAGTAGCTGGGACTACAGGCACCCGCCACCATGCCAGGCTAATTTTTTTTTGTATTTTTAGTAGAGATGGGATTTCACCGTGTTAGTCAGGATGGTCTTGATCTCCTGACCTCATGATCCGCCCGTCTCAGCCTCCCAAAGTGCTGGGATTACAGGCGTGAGCCACCACACCAGCCCTAAAACTCTTATAATACCCAAAGTGGTAAGTGTTTTTTTGTATGCTAATCATATGACTGGTGGTTAGGGACTCCTGGATAGTCTGAGGATTGGGTAGGGAGATAGTGGTTGGCAGGGGAACCAACCATGTTATTAGAAGGTTGGAACATTTTCACTTTTTCAGCCCCAACCCTTGTCCTCTAGGGAGAAGATGGGCTGAAGGTCGAGTTAATCAGCGATAGCCAACAATTTAATCATGCCTACAAAATGAAACCTCCATAAAAACCCTAAAGGACTAGGTTCAGAGAGCCCTAAATAGCGGTAGGTCAGAAATTCAGGTCACAACTTGGAGCCTGCAACTGGCATCTGAAGTTGGGGGTAGTCTTGTGGGACTGGGCCCTTAATTTGTGGGATCTGACAGTATCTCCTGGTAGATTGTGTCAGAACTGAATTGAATTACAGGACACTCCATTGGTGTCTGCTGGAGAATGTGGTGTCAGAATTGCTTGGGTTGTGGGGGAAAAACCCCACCCACTGGTGTTAGACATGTTGTGGTATGTGAGAGGACAGAGTCTCTCACCTTATGCCCAGGCTAGAGTGCAGTGGTACAATCATAGCTCACTGCAGCCTTGACATCCTGGGCTCAGGTGATGCTCCCACCTCAGCCTCTTGCATAGCTGGAACTACAGGTATATGCCACCATGCCTGGCTAATTTTTAATTTTTTTAGAGAGATGGGATCTCACTGTGTTGCCCAGGCTGGTCTCAAACTCCTAGGCTCAAGTGATCATTCCCCTTGGCCTCCCAAAGTGTTGGAATTATAGGCATGAGCCACTGTGCCTGGCCCATACCCACCTTTTGCACTATGAAGCATATCATCTAATAGACTGGTTAGGGTTTAGAAATCATAAACAATTGATCTTTACATTGTTTTCACAAAGATCCTTACCAGAGGCAAATCCTTCCCAGTGACTACGTGTCAACTCCTCCATACAGCTCACAACCTTGCTCCATACATTGTCAAACACATAAGCAAGGACATCTTCTTTTATGCAGTAAAATGGAGCAATGGGAGGATACCCTAATTTCGGTTTCTCTGTAGCTGCTTCTGATTTCTTGCCATGAAATCCCTCTTTCCTGTAACAGAAGCAAGAGGGAAAAACTTCATGATGATTCTTCACTGAGTGTTCACCACTGTCCTTTGTGCTTCTTAGGAATGACTGGTGCTCCCACCCTGCCTGCCCTGCTGCCTGCCCAGCATGTGGAGCACATGTATGAAGCTGTCTTGGGAACTAAGGCAGTTCTCAACATAAGAGATTGCATTTCCCTTTTTATCCCGACTCTATCCCACTATTCTGCCAAAAACTAGAACAAGAAAAAGAAGGCTGAGAATCATTATTGTATTGGGAGAACCCGCTCCCGAAAGTTACGTGGGTTCTATTTCCTAGGTGTCTCAGCTGCTTTGAGAAATAGAGGGAAAGAGCACAAGAGAGAGAAATTTAAAGCTGGGTGTCCCGGGGAGACATCACATGTCTGCAGGATCCGTGATCCTCTCCGAACCGTAAAACCAGCAAGTTTTTATTAGCAGTTTTCAAAAGGGGAGGGAGTGCAGGAATAGGGTGTGAGTCACAGAGATCACATACTTCACAAGGTAATAAAATACCACAAAGCAAGTGGAGGCAGGGCGAGATCACAGGACCACAGTATGGGGCGAAATTAAAATTGCTAATGAAGCTTCGGGCACGCATTGTCATTGATAACATCTCATCAGGAAACAGGGTTTGAGAGCAGACAACCTGTCTGACCAAAATTTATTAGGCGGGAATTTTTCTCGTCCTAATAAGCCTGGGAGCGCTACAGGAGACCAGGGCTTATTTCATCCCTTCGGCTTGGACCATAAAAGACAGCACGCCTTAAGGCGTCTCTTCTAAGCCAGCTTCAGAATTTGTTTTGTCTTAGTTTATATAATACATCTATCTTAGGTGAGCACAACTACCAGCCAGATTTTTTCCCCCAGAACTCCAGGGCTATTGGTATTCCTGTCTGGCGAAGCAGAGTTAACTTGGCTAACTGAGACTTTCTGGGCTACAGACACAAGTGTCTCTAGAAGAGCCTATAAACCTACCCTCAGGGCGCATTCTCTTTCTCAGGGATGTTCCTTGCTGAGAAAAAGAATTCAGCGATATTTCTCCCATTTGCTTTTGAAAGAGGAGAAATATGGCTCTGTTGCGTCCGGTGGCCAGAAGTCTTTTTTTTTTTTTTTTTTTTTTTGAGACGGAGTCTCGCTGTGTCACCCAGGCTGGAGTGCAGTGGCGCGATCTCGGCTCACTGCAAGCTCCGCCTTCCGGGTTTACGCCATTCTCCTGCCTCAGCCTCCGAGTAGCTGGGACTACAGGCGCCCGCCACCACGCCCAGCTAGTTTTTTGTATTTTTAGTAGAGACGGGGTTTCACCATGTTAGCCAGGATGGTCTCGATCTCCTGACTTCGTGATCCACCCGCCTCGGCCTCCCAAAGTACTGGGATTACAGGCTTGAGCCACTGCGCCCGGCCCGGAAGTCTTATCTCTGGTGTTCCCTGAACATTGCTGTTATCCTGTTTTTTTTCCCAAGATGCCCAGATTTCATACTGTTCAAACACACATGCTCTATAAACAATTTGTGCAGCTGACACTGCACAAATCATCACAGGGTCCTGAGGCGACATTCATCGTCCTCAGCTTACGAAGAAGATGACGGGATTAAGAGATTGAAGTAAAGACAGGCATAGGAAATCACAAGGGTATTGATTGGGGAAGTGATAAGTGTCCATGAAATCTTCACAATTTATATTCAGAGACTGCAGTAAAGACAGGCATAAGAAATTATAAAAGTATTAATTTGGGGAACTAATAAATGTCCATGAAATCTTCACAATTTATGTTCTTCTGCCACGGCTTCAACCGGTCCCTCTGGGGTCCCTGACTTCCCGCAACATTATTGTATACACTAATTTCCCATATGTGTTTTGGTTTATTTTTCAACCCTCAATCTTTTCAGTTAGGAACATTCCAAAGGTCCAACTACTGATTTTGTGTTTTTTAGCTTTAAATGAATGAGCATTGTTAATTGCGCAGTTATGATGATTAAGCACCGGAAATAATTTTTGTTGTAACAGGAGAAAACTTAGATTAATTTTTGTTTGTTTGTTTTTGAGATGGAGTCTCACTCTGTCGCCCAGGCTGGAGTGCAGTGGCGCGATCTTGGCTCACTGTGACCTCCATCTTCTGGGTTCAAGTAATTCTCCTGCCTCAGCCTCCCAAGTAGCTGGGATTACAGGAGCCTGCCACCATGCCCAGCTAATTTTTGTACTTTTGGTAGAGATGGGGTTTCGCCATGTTGGCTAGGCTGGTCTCAAACTCCTGACCTCAATCCACCTGCCTCGGCCTCCCAAAGTGCTGGGATTACAGGCATGAGCCACTGCACCTGGCCCTTAGATTAATATTAATGTGATATTTAATGATGTGCATGGCAGTGTCATGATGCTGTGTAATTATTATACTTGAGGCGATGATTCATTAGAGAAACATTCCACCTAAATGATTAAAATTAGTATACTTTTACTAAGCCAAATAAACATTTGGTAATTGGTTAGAAAGGAAAAGGAGGGGAGCAAAACAGCACAGGAGCTTCTCTTGAGGCTCTTCTGGGGACATTTGTGTCTGTAGCCCAGAAAGTCTCAGTTAGCCAAGTTATCTTTGCTTCTCCAGACAGGAATACCAATAGCCCTGGAGTTCTGGGGGAAAAAATCTAGCTGGTAGTTGTGCTCACCTAAGTTAGATGTATTATATAAACTAAGACAAAACACATTCTGAAGCTGGCTTAGAAGAGGAATAAATAACTCCAGGTCTCTACAGTGAAAGTTACCCCTAGGGAAACAGAGATCTCAAGTATTAGGAAAATGTAGGCAGGAAAGAAGGGTGCAACAAGGCTTATGCAGCCTAGCTACAGACTCTCATCTCTGCCTTCCCTAAGAAGAGTTGGCCTGGCATTAGGTGGGGGAGTATGGTGAGCAGTATTAATTGTGTTTAAATTTATATTTCTTTTTAGAGGAGATAACATCCATGTGATGAGAAAAATTCAAATTGTACAGAGGGATATATAGTGAAAAAGATGTCTCCTACATTTCTGTCCCCCAGTCCCCATCCCCAGAAGCAAATATTATACATTGTTCCAGAGAAAGTTACATTATACACTCTACTGCCCCTTGTTCTCTATTTAACAATGTGTCTTGGTCCTTGATCCCTATCAATACATACTAATCCAGGCTGGGCTCGGTGGTTCACGCCTGTAATCCTAGCACTTTGGGAGGCCAAGACAGGTGGGTCACTTGAAGTCAGGAGTTGAGACAAGGCTGGCCAACATGGCAAAACTCCGTCTCTACTAAAAATACAAAAATTAACCGGGCGAGGTGGCGGGCGCCTGTAATCCCAGCTACTCAGGAGGCTGGGGCAGGAGAATTGCTTGAACCAAGGAAGTGGAGTTTACAGTGAGTGAGATCGCGCCACTACACTCCAGCCTGGGTGACAGAGTGAGACTCTGTCTCAAAAACACAAAACAAAACAAAACATATTAATCTGCCTCTTAAAAAACAGCTGCGGAATATTCCATTGTATGTACTGTATCTTAACTTGCCTCTTATTGATCAACCAACCAATCTTTTGCTCTTACAGTCAATGCTGTAATTAATATCCTTATGCACAGTTCTTTGGCTTCACAAGTGATTATGTGTGTAGGATAAATTCCTATAAATAAACTTATTGGGTTAAAGGGTATGTGCATTTCAATTTAAAAGATACTGCCAAATTTCCTCTAAAGAGGTCAGATGGCCCAATGGTGAAAGAATATGCCTGTTTACCTACTCAAGGAATGATGAAACTTCTTTATCTTTTGTTCGCTGCCAATCTAAAAGATAAAAGTACCTAATTATAGTTTTAATTTATATCTCTAATTTCAAAGTTGAATTTCATTTATGTTTAAAATCCATTTTATTTTTATATTGATATTATTTGCTTGTTTTGTCCTTAGTCTTTTCCTTATTGACGTACATATTAAAGAAATTAACTCTTTATCCGTGAATGAACAACAAACATTTTTGCCTAGTGTGTCATTTGTTTTTTGACTTTGAGTTTATTTTTTCAATTCCTACTGCAGAAATTAGTTTTTTTCTATTTTTTTAAATTTGTTTTTCACAGCAGCATTGTATCATAGAAATGAGGTTTTTGTCTAGGCAGAAATTTCATATTGTGTAGTTATTTAAGAATTTCTTATGTGACTTGTAGGTTTTGTGTTATGGTTAAAAAGGCCTTCATTCTCAAATTATATTTTTTAAAAACAGTCTTCCATGTTATATTTTCTTCTAAATGTATATGATTTCATTTGCCACATTTAATTTTTTTAATGTGTGAAGTTTATTTTTATGGAAAGAATAAATTTGGAACCTTATATTTTTTTCCAGATGGTTTTTCCATTTGTACTAAAATCATTTGCTGAAATTACTGTATACTCTAATTTCCCATAAGTGTTTTGGTTTATTTTTCAACCCTCAATCTTTTCAATTAGGAACATTCTAAACGTTCAACTACTCTGTCACTTTATAAAACATCTTAGAGGTATTTCTAAAGGGAAGGCTGCCTTTCTAAAATCATCCGTGTATTACCTGAAAATTCATTTTGATTTGAGGAAAAATGGAAAATAGAAGTAATGTGAAACAGGCCAACTAGAAGTAATAAATAGAAAATAGAAGTAATTTGATACAGGAGAAGTGAAAGGGAAGGGGGCAGTCTTTGGAAAAAACCAAAAGAACCTGCTTCCAATTCTAGCTCAGTGGTATTACGTATAGAAGCCTGGCTTATATTTAGCCGGCCCTAGGGCTGTGTGCACATGAGTGATACGTGAATGAACATGGCTCAGCAGGAAATACAATGGGAAAAAATACAATGGGAAAAAAAAATGCATCCAGAATCATGTGACGCAATACTAACTACTAGACCTAACCACAGCCGCATATCCTAAAGAGAAATTCTCACTTATTTTCAAATATGCTGCTGTGACTATCAAATCTGGGACTTTTAAAGGCTTACAGGAATAGTTTAACAGGTTAATGTTTCAGAAAGGTAGCAAGGAATAGTGAAGCGAAGACTGGATTGAGAATCAGATGAGTAAGATTTTGGTTTTAGCTTTACTTTAGACAGATCATTAACTACTCTGATTCTCACCTATCCTGTAAAGAAGATAAATCATATCTATGTGATAGGACAACTATTAGAATATAGTAAGAATAGATATAAATAGACATTAATTATAAAATCTGTGCCAACCATAAGGTTTTAAACAAACTGTTTGTAACTTTTTCTTTTCTTTTTTGTTTTTTGGAGATGGAGTCTTGCTCTGTTGCGTAGGCTGGAGTGCAGTGGCGTGATCTCAGCTCACTGCAACCTCTGCCTCCCAGGTTCAAGCGATTCTCTGGCCTCAGCCTCCCAAGTAGCTGACATTAGAGGCATGCACCACCACACCCAGCTAATTTTTGTATTTTTAGTAGAGATGGGGTTTCACCAGGTTGGTCGGGCTGGTCTCGAACTCCTGACCTGAAGTGATCTGCCCACCTCGGCCTCCCAATGTGCTGGGATTACAGGTGTGAGCCACCGCGCCTGGCCTGTATATACCTTTTTCAAACAGGATTTATGTAAACAAAGTTCATTTCTCTTCAACTGCTTTTTTAAAAGGTTTTAAAAGTTCCCACTGGTGGTAATTTGCAAAAGGGTAAAATCAAACTATGTGGGGAAAAAATAAACTTATTTTAAAATCTCTAATCTCAGGAACAGGTAAATGATGTGTGAAGGTATAAAATACACAAGGAAGTCTAGTATATGGAAGCAATAAGAATATAAATTCTGGATACCTGAGAAAATAAATAACAGAAACTGGCATATATTTAATTGTATACATTGGTAGCGTCATTTAGAAAAAATAGGTATTAATACACAAAATAAGAGGGGAGTAAAAAGCTTAAAAGACACAATACTCACATATCTGTGTGATCGAATGCTAGGTATTCCTCAATTATTCCTTCCGAGAAGATTATAGAGTCTTCCTCGTCTCTTTCCATAGAACAAAAGCTGGAGGATTTGGCAATGGAAGATGCTTTATGAGCATAAGAAGATGAAAAATGTAACTTCTTTCCCCTTATACCAAATCTTGGAGAGGAAAGAAGAAGTAAATATTAATTATCTAAACATAAACAGTTCTTATGGCAACACAGTTACATGAGTTTTGGCTCAAACACCCCTTGCCCTGGCAATACCTATTCTAAGCCTCAATAACCTACCATTTCTCAGAACAGGAAGATTAAATTCTGGTCATAGAACTATTCTGCCTACATGTACTATGGACTATCTGATGCTGCTTGCTGTCTTTTTAGATGCAAACAGCTATAGCTGTGTATTAGGTCATCCTTGCCTTGCTATAAAGAAATATCTGAGACTGGGTAATTTATAAGAAAAGAGATGTCATTGGCTCACAGTTCTGGAGGCTGTATAGGAAGCATAGTGCTGGCATCTGCTTCTGCAGAGGACTTACAAAGCTTTTACTCATGGTGGAATGTTAAGTGGGAGCAGGAGCAAGAGAGAATGTGTGTGGGAGGGGAGGTGTCACACACTTTTAAATGACCAGATGTCATGGGAACTCACTATCGCAAAGACAGTACAAAGCCATGAGGGATCCTCCCCCATGACCCAAAAACTTCCCACCAGGCCCCACCTCTAGCATGGGGGATTACAATTCAATATGAGATGCGGGCATTCTGCCCTTGGTTCCTCTCAAATCTCATATCCTTCTAACATTGCAAAATACAATCATGCCTTCCGAAAAGTCTCAAAAGTCTTGATTCATTCCAGTGTTAATTCAAAAGTCCAAAGTCCCAAGTCTCATCTGAGACAAGGCACATCCCTGCCACCTATGAGCCTGTAAATCAAAAACAAGTTATTTACTTCCAAGATACAATGGGAGTATAGGCGTTAAACATTTTTGTTCCAAAAGAAAGGGGCTACAGGTCCCATGCAAGTTCAAAACCCAGTAGGGGAGTCATTAACTCTTAGAGCCCCTTGATGTCCCACAAGGAGGTACAAGGGGTAGGCTTCCAAGGCCTTAGGGAGCTCTACCCCATGGCTTTGCAGGGTTCAGCCACCAAGGTTGCTCTCACGGGGTGGAGTTGAATGCCTGCAGCTTCCTTTTTCTTTTTTTTTTTTTTTTTTGAGAGACAAAGTCTTGTTCTTACGCTCAGGCTGGAGTGCAGTGGTGGGATCTTGGCCCACTGTACCCTCCACCTCCTGGGTTCAAGCAGTTCTCCTGCCTCAGCCTCCTGAGGAGCTGGGATTACAGGTGAGCGCCACTACACCCAGTTAATTTTTGTACTTTAGTAGAGACGGGGTTTCACCATTTTGGCCAGGCTGGTCTCAAACTCCTGGCCTCCAGTGATCTGCCCACCTTAGCCTCCCAAAGTGTTGGGATTACAGGCGTGAGCACCTGTCCTGAATGCCTGCAGCTTTCTAGGTAGAGGGTGCAAGGTGAATCTATCCTTCTGGGGTCTGGAGGATGGTGACGCACTTCCCACAGCTCCACTAGACAGTGCCCCAGTGGGAACTGTGTGTGGGGCCTCCAACCCCCTACTTCCCCTCTGCACTGCTCCAGTAGAGGTTCTCTGTGAGGACTCCACCCCTGCATCTGGCTTCTGCCTGGGCACCCAGGCTTTCTCATACATCCTCTGAAATCTATACAGATACTGCCAAGCCTTCACTCTTTGCCCTCTGAGTGCCTGCAAGCTTAACACCACATGGAAGCTGCCAAGGCTTACAGCTTGCCTGCAACCCTTTTTTTTTTTTTTTTTTTTTTTTTTTTTTTTTTTTGATACAGAGTCTCACTGAATCACCCAAACTGGACTGCAGTGGCATGATCTCGGCTCACTGCAACTTCTGCCTCCTGAGCTCAAGGGATTCTCATGCCTCAGCCTCCCAAGTAGCTGGGATTACAGGCGTCCGCCACCACACTTGGCTAATTTTTGTATTTTTAGTAGAGACAGGTTTCACCATGGATCACTTGAGATCAGGACAGCTTGCATTCTCTAAAGTGGCAAGTCAAGCTGTAACTGGGCCCTGCTGAGCCCCAGCAAAAAGCAGTGTCCCAAGGCTGCTCAAGGCAACAAGGTCCTGGGTCTGCCCCACAAAACCATTCTTCCCTCCTAGGCCTCTGGGCCTGTGATGGGAGGGGCTGCTATGAAGGTCTCTGAAATGCCTTTTTCCCATTGTCTTGGCTATTAGCACTTTGCTGCTTTTTAGTTATGCAAATATCTCTATCAAATTGTTGCTCCACAGCCTGCTTGAATTCCTCATGCCAAAAAGCTTTTTCTTTCTTTGTCACGCGGCTAGGCTGCAAATTTTCCAACCTTTTATGCTCTGCTCCCCTTTTAAATATAAATTCCAACTTTAAGTCATTTCTTTGCTCCCACATCTAAGCACAGGTGTTAGAAGCAGCCATGTTACTTCTTGAACACTCTGCAACTTAGAAATTTCTGCCACCCAGTACCCTACATCATGACTCTCAAGATCAAAATTCCACAGATCTCTAGGGCATGGACACAATACAGCCAAGTTCTTTGCTAAGGCATAACATGCATGCCCTTTGCTCCAATCCCCAATAAGTTCCTCATTTCCTTCTGAGACCTTGTCAGCCTGGACTTTATCGTCCATTTCACTATTCGCATTTTGGTCACAACCATTTAACTGGTCTCTAAGAAATTCTAAACTTTCCCTCATGTTCCTGTTGTCTTCTGAGCCCTCCAATCTTTCAACCTCTGCCCATTACCCAGTTTCAAAGTCACTTCCACATTGTCAGGTATCCTTATAGCAATACCCCATTCCTTGGTATCAGTGTTCTGTATGAAGTCATTCTTGCATTGCTATAAAGAAATACCTAACCAGGTGTGGTGGCTCACGCCTATAATCCTAGCACTTTGGGAAGACAAGGCGGGCGGATCATGAGGTCAGGAGTTTGAGACCAGCCTGGACAACACAGTGAAACCCCATCTCTACTAAAAATACAAAAATCAGCTGGGCACGGTGGCACGCGCCTGTAGTCCCAGCTACTCAGGAGGCTAAGGCAGGAGAATTGCTTGAACCCGGGAGGCAGAGGTTGTGGTGAGTCGAGATCACACCACTGCACCTCAGCCTGGGCAACAGAGTAAGACTCCATCTCAAACAACAACAACAACAACAAATACCTGAGACTGGGTAATTTATAGGAAAAGAATCTTAATTGGCCTATAGCTCTGCAGGTTGTACAGGAAGGATGGTGCTAATAGTGCTAGCATCTGCTTTGAGAGAGGCTGCAGGAAGCTTTAACTTATGGTAGAAAGTGAAGCAGGAGTAGGCATATCACGTGGCCAGAGCAGGAGAAGGAGAGTGTGTGTGTGGAGTGGTGCCACAAACTTCTAAATAACTAGATCTCATGAGAACTCATTCACTATTGCAAAGATCGTACCAAGTCATGAGGGATTTGTCCCCATGACTCAGACACCTCCCACTAGGCCCCACCTCCCAGCACTGGGGATTATAATTCTACAAGAGATTTAGGCAAGGACAAATATCTAAACGATAACAAGCTAACAAACAAGTTTTTTAAAAACTAAGAATAATCACATTCCTAATTACATCTTAAGATATCTCAGGAGGTTATATCCTTATTTCAGTAACTCCATCATTGCCCAAAATATATGCTCCTTAAGGGCAGGGATCTTATCTTATTAATATTTAAATTTCTCTTCCTTCCTAGGCATTCAATAAATATGTGATGACTCATTTGTTTCAGTGGGTTTACTTTGGAGAAAGTCAATCGAATCTGAGAAATAAAATCTTAAAAAATGGATCTCAGTTTAATCAAATGTTAAATATAACCAATTTACACTTTGTATTGCTCTTTATATTTTTTTGTGCCATAAGTATTTTTTTTTTAACTAGGAAAACAGAATAAACCCATGGCAGCTGGGCCCATGGCTCATGCCTGTAATCCCAGCACAGTGGGAGGCCAAGGCAGGCGGATCACTTGAGATCAGGAGTTTAAGACCAGCCTGGTCAACATGGTGAAACCCCATTTCTACTAAAAGTACAAAAATTAGCCAGGTGTGGTGGCATATGCCTGTAATCCCTACCTGGGAGGCTAAGACAGGATAACTGCTTGAACCTGGGAGGTGGAGGTTGCAGTGAGCTGAGATTACACTACTGCACTCCAGCCTGGGCGACAGAGCAAGACACTGTCACAAAATACATACATACCTACATACATACATACCTACATACCTACATACATACATAAAATAAACCCATGGCACTTTTAAACAAGGCTGGTGGGAAAATCTTACTGGAAGACGTTTTGGAAATATGTATTAGGAGCTTTAGAATACACATTTTCTCTGATTCAGTGGTTTCATTTGTAGGGATTTCCTTTAAGGATATGACCTGTAAGATTTAGCTATAAGAATTATGATTGGTGGGGCACAGTGGTTCATTCCTGTCATCTCAACACTTTGGGAGGCTGAGGCGAGTGGATCGCTTGAGCCCAGGAGTTTAACACCAGCCTGTGCAACATGGTGAAACTTGATTTCTGCAAAAAAGTACAAAGATTAGCCAGGTATGGTGGCATGTACCTATAGTCCCAGCTACTCAGGAGGCTGAAGTAGAAGAATTACTTGAGCCTGGGAGGCAGAAGTTGCAATGAGCCATGACTGTGCCACTGCACTTCAGCCTAGGCAACAGAGGGAGACCCTATCTCAAAAAAAAAAAAAAAAAAAAAAAAAAGAATTATGATCACAGAATTGTTTATAATTGCCAAAAATAGAAACTAGCCGAACTGTTTCAAAATAGAGGATTTGGGGATGAGTTTCTTAAATAGTGATATATTCGTGCAATGGAATAAAGTCCTTACGTTAATATTGGGAAAAATGGAAGATGTCCACAATAAAATATTAAGTATAAAGAGATTACAAAATATATAATTTCATAAAAACCATATACATACATGGTAGAGAATGCTACATGCCCCTCAATATCCATTCTCTCCTTCTTTCCTAGTAAAATCATCCCAATTCATGGAAACAACATATCCATCTCAAAGACTGCATCTCCCAGTCACCTTGCAGCCAGACATA